GGGGGGGGGGGGGGGGGGTGGGGGGGCAAGTGTGAAGAAGACATTGTTTTGGCTTACAGGTTTAAGATTCATATTATTATTATACATATATATACATATTTCTTTATGTGGCTAAGGAACAACATTAGCCGCGGCTGTGATTGATGATCCAAGCGCCACGCCCAGCGCAGCCCAACGACCTTTGGCAATAGACCCCAACGCCCGCCGCCCGCCGTCCGCCGTCCTCCACCGCTGCCCGTTGCACTTAATTGCAGGCTGAACAAGTTTATCGAGGGCTAACAGTAGCTCACAGCTTGATGGGCCGTTAAGTGCGAGTAAGAGCTTGAGACATGCCCCCTCCCCGCCCTGCTCGCACAAGCCCAACACGATATTAGTTTTATTTTCATTTTAATCGTCGGTTGAACCATAAAAAGAAGCCAACAACAGATCTCCGAGCACAGTCGAGTGCTGGACCAGAGGTCGAGCGAGAAGTATGATGGAGGCGCAGGGCGGGGGGAGTGGCGGGCAGTCAGTCATGTCAATTTAAATAGATCTCTCAAGAGTTTGGGCGCCGCGGTCATTGTACTTGAGCAAATCGAACTTTGATTTTGTTGTTTTCGTTTTCTTGTGCTTCGACTAGTCAAATAAATATAATAATAGCAAGACAGAGACGGAGACGGAGACGGAACCGCAGACAACGACGGAGTCAACGGCGCCGGGTCTTTGGCGAGACGTCGATCGACCCGCTGGGCTCAGCGGCGATGCCTATTTATGCCATGAATTTGAAAAGCATTGACATTGAAAATTATGCGAACGGCTGAAGGGTAGAGTGCAGCAAATGGTGATCGTCGGCTCAAGCAGATTAGCGGATCGATCGAGCCGCATGGCAATAGATCGCAAAATTATTATTGAAATGTATGCAGTGGACAGTCGACAGTCGACAGAGCGGGCCACAAACGCAGAAGCCAAAGATCGTTCGACGAACAGAGACTCGCTTCGCAGCCCTTGCCCGAAATGGGGGTCACACCGTCGCGTCGTCGCGATCGGGTTGAAGATCAAGGTTGAGCTCGATTGACGTCTATTTCTGTTGTTCTGCATTTGAGCGAAACGGAAGGGAATTAAAATTGATAGCTGAACACATGGAAGACTAATTCGAGCTGTTTGACAAGTTGCGAATTAAGATTGATCGCTGGCTCAGTGCTCTGTCTGCGTCACAGATATGTATGTATATATCGCATTTATCTGAATCTTTTGATCGCCCACTAGATCTTGGGCCCCCAGACAGCTGGCAATTGTTTAACGATCAGCGATTGTCGTCGACTGAATGCCCCAGCTGCGGGGGCATTCGGCGAGCATGTCAAGTTTCTTGGCGACCCATAAATACCAGACTTATTGTACCTAATAAGCGGCTCTCGAAATGTCATCATTAATTATTTGTAATAATCCGACGTGACGTGAACTGTACAAAGTTTACGCCTTGGAATTCAATGTCCCTCCCATAAAACAAACAGCTAAAGACAAAAAAAAAAGAAAACTGAGAGAGAATGGAACACAGATTCGACTCCGACTCGATTGGGGATTCAGGCTTAGGCACGTCGCACTCATTGTCATTGAATACTCCGTGGCTCGATTTGATTGGGCCTAAATAGAGCAATTGCCGAGCTTCGTCGGAATGGTTCGAGAGCCGAAGAGTTTCCCATGGCAATTCTGATTTGATAACTGATTCTGCGAGCTATGAGAACTAGGCTAAGTAGACGATCTACGATCTGTGTTGTTGATCAAATGTATCTAAATGTCTGCTCCTCTCCCCTAGACGCATTGTTCGACCAAGTCGAGGGGACCCATTCGAAGAGCATTCAAATGTTAATTGTCCGCAAAGACTTGCACTTTTCGATGGCATTTCTGTTGTTTGCCCGCTAACAAATAAAATAAATATGAAAACAAAGAGCAAAGTATAAAAAATTGCTGTGTGCTTGTTCGATAAACAAACAAAAATGCCAAAGTCGCTGCTGGTCAGCGAAATAACGCCAAACAACTGAATAAAACACAAAAATAACTATTCCAGCCACACTTGAACTGATGGCACTTAAAATACCTTTAGATTTCTCTTGTGGGAAACTTTGAAGAGAGATCCATTTTAGTCCAAGCAAATTGTGAATATTCTTCATCCATTTGAACATAGTTCTAATGTTATTAATCCATAATGTTATTATTTATCCAACACTGATCTCTGTATATGAGCATTTATGGAAGCTCAAGCAGTTTAATTTGACTCTGCGTCTCTCTTTCTCTTTCTCTCACTCTCTCTGTTTTTCTCTGTCTAACTCATTCATTCTCTCCTTCTCTCTCTGATTCTCCCTCTCTATCTCACTCATTCATTCTCTCTCTTTCTCTTTCTCATTCAATGACTCACTCTATCTCTCCCTTTCTGTCACTCACTCTTTCAACATATTTTTGCTTCATGTCTCAATATGATTTTCGTTCGTTGTTTCTTTTCGCCTTTATGTACCTTCCCATATATCTCTATGTCTCTCCATATAAATCGTTTATGCATATAGCATCTTTTAAAGATCTATGTCCCTCTATGTCCCTCTCTCACTCTCTCTCTCTCGCTCTCCTTCTCTCTCTGTATGTTTGTATTCCTTTGTTTATTTGTATTCCTTTGTCTCGTTCCCATTCTTTTGAAGTTATTCCCTTTGCATTATCTCTATATATCATTCTATTACCTTCTCAGATAATCTCTATATTGTATATGTATATATTTCTCTCTCAATATATATATATTTTCATCTATCTCACTTTGTCTCACTCTCTTTTCTTTTTCTCTGCCCTTTTCCTCTCTCTCTCTTCCCCAATTGATGTCTGTCTCACTCTCTCCATATTTATTTACCATTTTCCTTTTTCACTCTATCTCTATCTCTATCTCTCCCCCTTTACCTTTCCCCATCTACCTCATTCGCATTCGAGCTGAATATGTGTCGAAGCGACTGCTCGATTCGATACTCCCTGCACGGCTTATGCCAGGGTATGGCACGGCAAGCCGACAAACTGTTTGCCTGTTAAATATTACGCATTGTCGCGCTATTGTCTAACGCTTGCCGGCTGACCTATTCGGTAGCTTCTGTAATTGGAAAGTGGATGTGGGCGAGGCCGAGTGGCCTTGACCTCTTGGCTTGGCTTGGCTTGGCTTGGTTTGGCTAGAATTGGTAGCAAAGCGAAAGGCCAATTAAGGCAGCAACTGTGCCGCATCGTTTCGACACCAATAACCCCTGTCCCGCCTCCGCACCGCCTACCGCCAGCGCCTTCTAGCTCGCCTCAAAGCTTGCAAAAAAAAAAGAAGAAGAATTATTGTATAATTAGTTAACGCTTTGAGTTTTTGTTGCCTCTGAAGCGTCTTTTATATTGCAAATGTGTTTTGTTTTGCTTTTTTGTTGTTGTTGTTGTTGTTCATTTCTGGCCTTTTCATAGAGTTTGTTTTGCTCGCCGCATTCATCGCGGCTTCGCGGCGCTCAACACTTTTCGCATGGCAGCGTCCCACTGTGCGAGGTCAAGCGAACGCGCTGACCGGTCCATGCATATGCAAAAAGCCGAGATGCGGGCGAGCCGGCAGCATTCAGCTGCTAATTAGAGGCCAATAATGGCCCACATAGCTCTTGGCCAGTCCTTCAGCCGCAGCCTCACGTTGACACTAGCTGCTTAAACAATTCTTACAAGATATATTGTGATACCTAAGCTGACATATATGTACATACATAGACATTGTGATATTACGTATATATATTGATATTGAACTAGCTCGTTAAGCAAACTGAACGGTTTGAAGCTTAGGATCCATCTAAACGAAATTTTGTTTGAGCTGCACTTGTTGCACCAGATCCACTAGAAGGCTTCGACTAAAGCCCTGCTGAAACCATGAACTACTTGAAGATCGTTGGCATGTGGTACTAGATGTGCCATATACAGTAGAGTCCGGCTATAACGACTCCGGCTACAGAGTTCGTACGATGCTCAAAGAAACTGTTGGGATCAAACGTATATGGTTATAGCATCGTTTAAGGAACCGTCGTTATATCCAATTTCTACAGTACCTCTACAACGTTTTCTATGGCTTGTAACCACTCCTGCAAATTAGGGAAAATCATAGACCCATGTCCCACCTCTAATTACAACTCTCAACATAATTCTAAGATTAACTCCTATAGCAGACCTGATTCTTAAATCCAAGTTGAAGAAATAGATATGGTATATGGTATATGGTCTGGGGTATAGAGTTTAGTAATGCCTATTTAATAACTCTAAATTAAATAATTGAATTGGTTCACTATTCCAAATGAGCTCGTTCAGTTGAACTTAATCGGAGCTGACTCAATCCCATCGATTCCCCTTGGTTTAGTCATTCACTTGCCTCTTCGATTGAGCTGTAATCAAGATGTAATATCCTCAGCCTTTACACCAATGGGAGCAGTACTCTCTGCCTCTCCAAGGACATTAGCTCATTCTCACTCTCTCATTTGCTTGCTCTTGCAGCCTCGCTCTCTGATCTTGCTTGGCGCTGACGTCATGAATCGTCGGGCAGTGACGCTGACTTCGCTGCTGCTGGCGCTGCTGCTCAGCCAGAGATTGACGCCGAGCCTCGGCTCCGCGGTGCTCATATCGGACATGACGATGACCATGATGGTGGAGCTGTCATCGCGGCATCCCTTCTGCAAGATGCACACGGATCGGTGAGTGGGCCAGTGGCAGGCAACGGGGGCGCCTTCAGAGCTGCAACTGTACGCCGTTTCGTTCGTTTCGCAAACAGGGGCGACATCCAGCGGATGCTGCTGCAGTCGGATCCGCGACGCATACGCCAGGTGCCGCGCGAGTCGGTCGTGGAGCTGGAGGAGGTCTGCCGCCGTCAGGGATCCTACGGGCACGAGTTTCGCGGCGGCCTGGGCTTCATCTATCCGGGCACCAAGTGGTGCGGCCCCGGCACCGCCGCCACCAGCTACGACGACCTGGGCCAGCATGTGCGCGAGGATCGCTGCTGCCGCGAGCACGACATGTGCCCCGACGTGCTCAACGTGGGCGACTGCCGGCGCGGCCTCTGCAACCGGGGCACCTTCACGCGCTCCCACTGCGATTGCGATGCGCGGTTCAGGCGCTGCCTGCAGGCGGCCAACACGGAGACGGCCAACACGCTGGGCGCGATCTTCTACAATGTGGTGCAGGTGACCTGCTTCCAGGAGCGCAGCCCGTGCTCGGCACACCAAAGGTTCGACGATTACTTTTATGGCCGTCGCCAGTGCCCGCTCGAGTATCGGCAGGCCGACCTCTATGTGCCGCCGCATGCCGAGCAGCTCATTGCCAAGATTCTCGATCAGCCGCAGGGCCGCGCCCTCGCCGCCCCGCTGCCCCCGCTGAAGCACACGGCCCGGCGCTTCGGCGTGAAGCTCGCCAGCGTCGGCCTGGCCGCGGTCAACATACTGCGCGAGGTGGTTCAACGGCCACGCCTGCTCTGGGAGAGCCTCCACGCCCCGGTCAGTCGGGAGCTGCCGCCCCCAAGGGGCTACTACTACGAGCGGCCGGCGGCGGTGAGGCCGCGCTATGCCTACAGCTATGACTACGGCTGGAGATGACCTGAGCTGCTCCGCTCATCCCATATCATCCCATCTCCGCATCTCAATGCCCGCTCAGTATTAAGTAGCTGGATCGGATGGGCACGCATTCATAGTCAGCATGTCCAAAGCACTTGCATGTTATGCCCTAAGTTACGAAATTTTTGTTTTTGTTGTATATAGAAATATATTTTTGTTTTTTTTTTTTTTTACTATTATTTTGAACAATAAATTAAGCACATCTTAATCGAATGCTCACCTGTTGAATGTTGCACTTTCTCCACCCCTCTCTCTCTCTCCCTCTGTCTCCCTCCTGTATCTACTTTATCTCTTATCTTATATCTTTCGTCCAGAGCCGGTTACAATCAGACGGAGCAGGATACCATCTGCGCCCAGTGGCAGTATCAGCCCTCGGAGAAATATGTTCCCAGCCAGCCGCGCACCTCCTAGATTATGATGATGAAGATAATGACGACGATGATGACGACGATGATGATGCTGATGATGATGATAATGATGATGATATTCTGCAACAATCAAATACAAATAGTATAGCCCACCCCTTACCGCCCCACAGCCCTCATAGATCAGTCACAGTTCCGCTGTTGAGCCAGATGCCTGGAACAGAAACCGGTGCCAAAATGTGCAGAGACAAACATATATTTTTTCATAACTATTATAAACATACAAAGGCAATGCATTCCATATATATATTTACAATACATAGATGTATATACATATATATATATATACCATGATCTGAGTGCGAATAAAAGTTCAAGCTTGCTTATGAAAAAACGGGTATATCTTAACTTTCGACACTGCCTAAAAGTATGCTGGGCTTTCTCTTACGTTCCACATTTCATTTGGCTTCAGCAGACACAGTGAACATAAAACCTCTTTCAGTTGTAGCCCTGACACAGTGAGTGTCAAACCTGCACGATAGCAAATTGAGCTCAAGCTGCACACGCGATTGTGCTTATAATCGAGAAACTTAAATAAGAGAATTTATATATTGTATAATTATAATATCGTGCGTTTTATTTTGAATTGTTCTCTTTCACACCAGTTGCATATTACCAACATATCTCAATTGGAGCACGAAGAATTTCTCGTTAGCTGTATACATGAACCAAGGTTCGTGTCTAGACTAATGATATTTGGAATAGAAACTTGTACGTGTCAAAATGAAGTATTCTCTACGTAATGCTGTGTAGTACAGTTTGTATATTATGCTTATGATTCTATAATTTTGTTTATTGCATTACTTTATTTCGTACATTTTGTTGTTTGCAAATTACAAAAATTGTCGTTCTCTGCAAATATTCTTGAAGTCTGTGTGGTTATAATTGTATGCATACATAAAAAAAACTAAATACTAAATCTGAACTAAAATGCAGCCATTTGGCTGCTGCATGCTGCATGATACTCATCCAGAGCCAGAGCCGGTGTAATAGGCAGCTAACATTTATTGTTGTTATAGTTGATTTTGTTGTTCTTGTCATTGAAGTCTGTTAGGCGCGCAGTGCGACAAACTGCTGGAACACCTCCAATATGTGGGAGTCCAGATCGGATGTGAAGAGAAGCGTCTCCAGCGTGCTGCTATATTTCTGCACTTGCTCGTGATGCTGTCAAAGAATTAGAATGGGATTATATATATTAAATATATGTTCGTATTCATTCGACCTACCATAAGGAAGACCTGCTGCAGGCGACCGATGGTCCACCGATACCAATCCGTGTCCGGATCGCGTCCATCTGTATCGGAGCGCAACAGATGCTCGGATAGTATCATGATGAAGCGCTGAAAGACGATCAGGAACAAACGTTTCTGATTCACATTGGCAGCCTCCAGTTTCTCCTCCATGCGCTCGACGACCTGCAAACATGGGAGCAATGTAAATAAACGAAAATTTCAGACATCACGTGACTTACCTCCTCGGATGGCTTATCGGCATGCGTGATGGGTTTCTTGCGTTTGTGCGGCGTATCCTCATCCGTATCGCTGGACGATGAGTCCGCCTTGGAGAGCTTTTCCTTGGCTTCACTTAGCTCAGTATCTATAAAAACGAATGAATTCATTGAAGTCCTGGGGCTGTGGGCAAATTATTCAGCGGCTACTCACTCAGCTTGATGACGTGCTTGTTCATCTTCTTGATGGTCAGATGCAGTATTTCCCAGAGATACATTTTTGTGAATTCGCCGGTCATTTCCTTGGAGAATATCCATGTGGCCACCGCCGAGCAGTCGACTATTTGCAGCTTGAGCAGCTTATCGATCAGCACCACCATCATCTGCTGGTGCGAGGACCAGAGCTCAAATATGTTATGCAGTATACAGATCTGGGCCTCCTCCGTTTCGGCCAGTGCACGGAATACCGAATGAAATTTCGATATGGCCGCAAAGCTATGGGAGAACGACTTGGAGCCCAAATTGAGCAGCGTCTGCACAAAGACATCGATTTTGAGTGCATTGAAGCTGCCGTCGGACATCTCCTCGCCGCTGTAGCCGGTGTTGGGTATCTCCTTCAGTATGTTGACAACCTCCTCGGGTGTGCACTTCTGCCGGATGGCGCTGACCAGCTGCAGGGCGACCGTAATGCCGGGCAGATTGGCTGCATATCGTAACGAAACGAAACGGAAATCATTTTTGAATGCAACTATTCATTACGTACTTATTTCGAGCAAAGATTTCGAAGCTGCTGCCGCCGCCGGCAGCAGTTGACACTTTCGCTTGCGCCAGTTGGCAGTTGCATTGCGTTCGGTGCGCCGCCGCGTGGAACCAACCGGCAACAAGCTGCAGAGCGGACGACTCCCAGGCCCAAGCGCCTGCTGCTGCTGTCTGATGCGAGACTAATGACCGACCCATTCCCGCCGCCCATTCCCCATGCCACGAGCAAGTTACCTGGCTGCACACCTCATGACAGCTGCCATTACATGCAATTTATTGGCACTTGAGTCGATTATGTCAATGAAGAGCGTGCTCAACACGCATACAAGTCCATTGAGTGGCATTTAAAACCCATTAAGGCTGACAATGCGGAACTGAGCAGCGCGACCCCATTGCCGTCAGGCAGCTCTGGCCACATGGCCATCGCGCTGAGCAAAGCTAAAGCCTCTCAAGAATCACATTGTCCACAGCAGAACGTGTCAAGATCAGCAAGCAAAGTTCACACAGCAGCAGCAGCAGCAGCAGCAGAGCTCAATGGAAGCTTCGAGCAGTACAGCTTGATTATAGCGTATTGAAACAACCGAGTGTACGGCTGAAAATACCCTATATATTCGAAATATATATATATATAATTCAATTATTAATCGAGCATATCAAGAACGTCATCAATACTTATCGATTTGCTGACTGATCGATAACTTGTGAGCCTTCCAATAAATCTATTATCACAAATAGATCGAAAAACCATGTAGACTTATTACGTAACAACTTATTGCTACATACCAGTTCTTAGTCACATATATACACATATTATTAAGACATTCTCCAGTGACTAGCTTACTCGATTACAGGGCATGCACCCTCGATTATTAGCATTTGCTTCGACTTGATGCTACAAATTCGTATATTTTCACGGATCTTTGGCTTTCAGCTCAAATTGGGCATGTCCAAGGCAGGGCGTTTCAAAGATCAGGGCGCTGCTCCATCGAGCGCAACGTGTCCAGCTGTGGCCACTTCATTTGCCTCTTCCGCTCACCGCGGTCAGCCGGACTATCTATGCGAAGTATCTCAATTAGGGGCGAGCGCGTGTCACGGAACCACAACGTTTACGAATGCCAACCACAAAGCGGAAGTGCAAGAACATAAGCTCATTAGAGGAGAGGAACCACACATAAGAGAGCACACCCACACACACACACAAACACATGCACAAGTCGTAGTTCGCATAGTTTTATGATTAATTTGCATGCGTGACAGCCATGGGAAGCGGCACAGCGCGGGTGAACAAGGCCCCAGACTTGACTCTTGACAGAGCTTTACAAGAAGGTTACAAGACATTCAGCGCAGTCAGCTCACTCAAGAAGGAAGACGTCCTTGAAGGCTTACGCTCTTATATCAAGACAAACCCTTCCCAGCGGTATTTGTCTAATGAATTCATCTTGAACTGCGAAATCTGAGAGATGTTCACAGAGGCTCGTTAATCTGCCATCAGTTGAACCTCTCCAATGATGAGCTTTCTATTTCGCGTCTTGGTTCGAATGGCACAAACGGCTTTCCAGCTACCGTCCGTGCAACCTCTCTCTCTCTCTCTGGGGGCGGCCCATCGCTTATGCGATCTTTGCCCTCTACGAAAAGCAACGAAGACAAGGTGAACTGAAACGCAATGAGAACGACAATCGGATGGAACGGCATCAGTTGGTGGCCAGTTCCACAATTGAACTTCAGCGAAGCGAGCAGGCATATCTCGCCCAGAATCTCTAGAGCAGTGATGTGGGCTGGCTGCTCCACAAGTCTCATGCTGGGCGAGGTCATGTGGGCTAGACTTGAGCCCTGGGGTGGCTTGGCTTTTGGTTTTTATTTTTTTTTTTTTTTGGCTTGAAGCGGGTCTAAACATCCGCAAGTGTTGCATAAAAGCGCGTCAGCCATGCCATGCCCGCACCACCGACACAGCAGAGCCACCTGCTGCTGCTGCTGCTGCTGTTGGTAGAAACGCGGCCGTTGCCAAAGATTGCGAAATTTGCCGCCGCTGGCGATGCGCCGCTTGGCTGCTCCAACGAAAGCAGCACCAACATTCGGTGGCTCGCCCCTCTGTCTGTGGGTTTGTTATTAGCGGTGCGCACGTCGTGAACGCCTTTCAGTCGAGCTAACGTGCGCGCGCAGCACAAACGTCGCGTTGTCCAAAGAGCTGTCAAAGATTCGTTTGTTTTATTCTGTTTGTGTGTTTTCTTTTTTTGCTTCTTTTTGTTGATGTGAAAATGTGGAAATTCTATTGCGTACTCATGGCAATCGTAAGTGGTGTCGCTGCTGAGTGGTTGCACTGACTCCTCACTGTTCCAATGCATCATTGCAGATGCAGCTGCAGCTGCAGCAGCAGCAGCAGCAGGCGCTGGCCATTGTGGGCGCTGGACGGGATCTGGTGTTGACACCGAAACAGGCGCTCCAGCAGCACGGGAAACGCATCTACTACGAGGAGGATGAGTCCACGCAATCAACGCCAGTCCAGCGCAGCTGGGAGCGCACCCTGAAGCATGTCACCTATGTGACGCTCTTCACAGACGCCGCTATGGGCGCCGCTGCCGGCAAACTGAGGTACGTCCCAGTGCAACATCCTTATTCTTCTTCTTCTTCTTCTTCATCATCCTTGCTCGCTCGCCCTCCACTAACCGTTTGTGCGGCAGCCAGCTGCACGACTATCACGACTTTCTGCAGACGCCCTACGTACCCGATGCCGAGCATGGCCAGCAGAGCCAGTCGCGCTTTGGCGACATTGTCACGCTGGCCACCGGGCGGCTGGAGCAGCTGTCGTCGAACGGCAGCTACCGCTTTGTGGAGGGCCCCGCCAGTGACGGGCCGCAGGGCGGCACACCAGGCAGCCAGATCCTGGCGCTGTGGCGGGTCCAGCGCATTCGACATCGCGATAGCATCACTCGGCATTCCCCGCAGCGCTTCCACTACGAGCTGAAGTTCAGCGTCTCTCCGCTGGCCACGAGCACGGGCTGGCCGCCGCTACAGAACTACATCCAGAAGGAATCGGATTATCCGCAGAGCTTTGGCCGACACACATACCAGGAAGCGCAGGGGCAGGCACTGGCCCAGCGGCGTCAGGATCGTCAGCCGCAGGCGACATTTGTGCGTGGCATCTTCCAGGCACCGCCACCGCCGAATCTCCTGAACATCGGTGAGTATCTGAAGGAGGATGTAACGAAAGGTCCGCCCAAGCTAGAGCTGTTTCCGGGCCTCTTCAATCTGGGCTTGCGTCCCAATTTCATTCCGGCCACCACGTATCGACCCAGTTATCCGGTCAAATTTGGCGCACCCACTCCGCCGGAGCCGTATGGGCTGCCCAACGAGCTGGGCGCCACTGAGCCGGCTGGGCCACCGCCCAATCCGCCAGTCACCCATCATTTCCACCATCATTTCTATATGACGCCCAATGGCTTGACGGATGGCAACCCATCTGGCCAGACGGATCTCGCCTTCCGTCCGTCCAGCTTCGCTCCGGAACTGACAACCCTTGCCGCACCCACTAGCCCATCACCAGCCTATCACCATCATCAGCCACACTATCAGCACGATCCGCACGGTGGCTTTCAGCTGTCAGGGCACCGCGAAACAGCCTCGGCTGAGTCCCTGGAACCAGGCGAGGACGACCGTCCGGATCAGGAACCGCATCCGCTTGTGCGCGTACCACAGAGCTATGCAGGTAACTACGACGCCTACTTTTTGATATTCTGTATGCAGGAGGTGAAGCAAGGACTACAATGTAGATTTGCTCTTAAATCTCTCTTGTCCTTAACTTCTCTATAACGGCTAAAACAGGCTACCAGCAGTCCTCCAAGTACCACTCATCCAAGCTGTCGCCGCTGCTGATCTATGCAGGCGCCGCTGCCGACACGGAGGAGGAGCAAAAGTCCTTTGTGCAGAGCGAGCCGCTTGAAGAGACCGTCTATCGCTACTCGGAGCCGGATCCGCTCTATGTGCACCAGCACCCGGTGGATGTGCTGCACTTGGACACGCCACACAACTATACAAACAAAGAGCCGCAACAGGACTCGGCACCGGCCCAGCTCGAGTCGAGCTCTGACAGCGGGGAGCAGACGCTACTTGAGCAAGAGGAAGAGGAGCATCAGGAGCAGCAGGCGCTGCAGCACCAGCAGCAGCCCGAACAGCGACCCGCTGGCAGTCAAAAGCAGCACAAATTGGCGACCACGCCTGCGGCAACAACAGCAGCCAGCACGACCACAGAGCGCCCAGCAAGCTCATCCATGGCGCCGACGCGAGCTGCACCCACGAGCCGAACCAGCTTCGTGTCCACCTCGACCAGCTTTACGCCGCTGCGTGCATTGAGTCGCTATCGAACGACGCCACGCATCACCGCGGGCAGATCGACAACGACAACAACAACAACCACCGAGCAGCCGGCAGTAGCCAAGTGGAAGCAGCGCCGCAAGGAAAATGCCACCGGAGTGGACAGTAGAGCCAAGAGCAGTCACCGACACGAATCTAAGGTGGCCTTTATGCCACCAACCGCATTCCCAACAACAGCAACGACAACTACAACTGCAGGAACAACAACAACAACAACAACAACAACAGCTATGCCTGCAGTCAGCAACAGCAGCAGCACAGTGGCATCGCCCGAGGGAGCTGGCGAAGTCATTGAGGTGCTCACCCAGAAGTCGGTTAGCAAGTCCGTCAGCATCAAGGTGGGCGAGAACGGCGAGGAGATACCCATCATAGTGGACGACGATGAGAACGAGGTGAAGCGCAGCTAGACATGCCCAAATGCGAAGAATTCTACGTCTAAGAAAACTGGAAGCGGCTGAATGGCTAATCAAGGTCTAGGACTAGGAAGACCAGCACGCGATTATAGGTCGGGTATACCCCATATTAGACGAGCTTCCAATTTCAATTATTTAATACTATATTTTTTTTTATTTTTATACCCTGAACCCATTGAAAATGGGAAATCAGGGTATAATGG